TCGGGAAGCGAGGCGAGGAACTTTCCGGTAAAGATGTCCGAGCAGTGACTATATCCACGTTTTCTTCTCGGCGGAAAAAGGGGGAAGAGGCCGCCAGGGCGTTCATTTTCTCCCGTGTCGCTTCCCGCAGTGGGGAAGCAACGTGTGGTAGCGCTCGTCGTTCAATTTTCTGGGACTACTGAGGTGCGTGTGGCGAAATCGTTGATGTTGTTCACGCGGTACGGTGTGCAGTCCAGTATACACCCACGATGACAGCCCGCTCTTTTTTTTTTTCGCTCTTTGCCAGGCGAGCCTCTGGCCTCGGCTATCGGTTTATACCACGCTGCACTCCTCCACTAGCGCTGGTCGGCAATATCTTGTAAATAAGGAGTCTTGCTGTTGTTTTAACTAGGCGCTGTCTAACACCTCGGAGATTGCACTGACACTATCAGTACCACCCCGGCGTCGCCGTCGACGAGGTTTTGGGCCTGTGCGACCGCGCATCACAGTTGCACAAAGCAGCGAAAGCGTCTCACACAACTGACCTTCTCGAGGCCGCGGCACATGTCGAGCACGGAACTGTTGCTAGGTCCGCAGCAACAAGAATGACCCTTATATTCTTGAAAAAGTTTTATTTCCTTTACTCTGTGCAGGGTAGCCAACGGGACCTCGGGCTGTTTAACCTATCTGCTATAAAATTTTCTAAAATTAACTGGAGGGGACACTGGCGCTGCAATCGTTCCGACACCTTGTAAATTTTGGGTAGTACATAGATTTGACTCGTCTTCGTACGCGCGGGCTTTGAATGCACGTGTGGCTTTGTTTATTCTTGTTTTGTTTTTGGTTTTGTTTCGAACGAGGCGACGGACCGTTGTGAACTTCGTGACCGCGATTTCAATCGACGATCCTGAAAGGCCGAGGTGGCGAAGTGCAAGTGCAGAGCATTTTCCGATTGTCGTTTCGGGACAAAGCAGCTCCAACCCACGCGAAGCCAAACGAAGCCAAAACAACGTAAACCTTTTGTAACACCCGTCGTTCACATGCTGGTTGTGGCACCGCGCGTTGCAGTTTCCATAAAGACTAGCGCCAGAATTCCCTCTAGTCTTTTTGAAATAAACTCTGTGCTATCTGCCCTTACTTTATCTGTCTCTATCTTTCGCTGTTAACGGTAAGACGCGTCAGTCAGGTCTCTCATAGCGTCTCACAGCGTCTCTCATAACAATGTAGTGGTTTTAGGACGTTAAGCCACACATATCGATCAATCAATGTGTCATTTGTTCAGTGCACCGACGAGGACGTCTGAAGCCGTACTCGGCGATTCGCGTGTCAATAAGATGGTGTCTGATCGCTTCGTTTGCGGTCTTTAGCTGGACGTGAACAGAGTAGCGGTGGTGCTGAACGCCGCCGCAGCCTTTTTTCTAAGACCCTGAACTTCGTAATCTTTATCCAGCTTTAAAGGAAAAACGATGTAGTCTTTCTTAAGATACATCAACACAGAAATTTTGGTCTGTCTGTCTGTCTAACGATTCAGCAACAGAGTCAAAAGTTTAAGCACTTGCTGAACGCCCAGCCATCTTACTCTCGTGGCTGCATTCATACCTCTGAACATTTTCTATTCATACTTGCAAACATTACGCATATTCGAGGCGCAACATGAATACGTTGGTATAAGGTGGCATGTTCCTTTACTAGAGAATACATAGATACGAGATTCTAAAAGCTCTAGTGTTTCTTACGTTGCGCTAAATATGCGACTGTATGCACGAACGAAGGCCGGCAGAAGACTATCGTTTTTTGATTTGCAGTGTAGCATGCAGATACGCTACCAACACACACACACACGTATATATATATATATATATATATATATATATATATATATATATATATATATATATATATATATATATATATATATATATATATATATATATATATATATAATGAAGTCAATCTTTGCTCAGTATATCGTCGGGATGGTCGGGGTCGCTTGTGACGTACGATGGAGGAAAGAGTCCGGGTCGCACTCTGTGACGTCATGCATTGCGTCAGTACGTTTTTATTTTTATGTATATAGTTGTCGTATGGAGAGGTCCGTACGCCGGGGAGCCCTTAGCGTCTTCTGTACTAATATACGGCGATGAGTATTAGACCGACGGGGTTAACGACTTCTCGAATCTCTCGCTTGACTTGTTGGCGTGCGGTGTTCGATCGCGGCCAGTTGCGTCCGTCCCAGCAGTTCCGTGCACTGCAGCGGAACACTATGCGGGTGCCCTCGGCCAACCGGAAGAAAGCAACTACTGCCTGATCTCTCTTTACGCGCCCATCCCGACTGCTTGAAAGAATGGCGGCTGAATCAGCGGCGCATAATGCGGAGCTGTTCGTCTCTCTCTTTTGAAAAAACTGTCGGAAGGTTGCAGGTTCGATCCCTGCTGGCGGCGAGTTGTCTTTTCGCCCACTTTGCTTTCTTGGCATTTGTGCCACGATTGTTATAATACACTTAAAACAGTGCATTTAACGTGCACTATACTTTGCTTGGCTTCATTTTCTGCTCATTTTCGTTAGCGGTGTGCGACAAAGAAGACACCCCTCAAAATTATCTCACTTCATCTTTTTAAACAAGAATGGTTTTTCAAAACCTCGCTCTACCCTCGTCTTGTAATGTGAAATTGTTCTATGCCCAGGATCATCATACTTAAAAAATTACTTTTATTATCCCCCTGATAGAGCAGAAGCTTTTCTTGTGAGCAGTTGGTATTGTCGCGGCACCTGGTGGATAATACTGAGCCATGCCCTCCGTGATCAGCTCCGGCAGTGCGATGAAGTGAAGGTGACCCCGTGAACACATTAGAGTATGCACGCTGGCGTGCTAGTGCAACTATACCAGACACTTATGTGAAAGATTGGAGTCGCCTCCACTCACCCGCCACAGTGGTCGGTCGGTCGGTCGGTCGGTCGGTCGGTCGGTCGGTCGGTCGGTCTGGTGGCTATAGTGCTCGACTGCTGACCCGCAGGGCGTGGGATCGAATCCAGGCTGTGGCGGCTGCATTTTTGGTGGAGCCGAAAAGTCTTGAGCCCCGTGTACTTAGTTATCATCATAATCATCATTAGCCGCACTACTCCCACTGCAGAGCGAAGGCCTCTCCCATGATCGACCAATCGACCCGGTCCCGTGCTTTCTGCTACCACGCCATAACTGCGAACTTCTCATAATCTTATCTGTCCACCCAATTTTCTGTCTCGCTGTCACGCGTTAGCCTACTTTTGGAATCTATCTTGGGACGTTAAACCCCACATATCAATGAATTATTTTTGGAATCTGGTCAGTTACCCCTTAATGACCATGGATTACCGCGATTCATGCCCGGCCCGCTTCCATTTCTTCTTCTTGACTTCAACGAGTTCAACCGACTCTACTGCCTTCCTGTTTCTTAAAGTGACACTTATCATTTTCCTTTCCATTGCTCTCTTTGTCGTCCTCAATTTAAGTTGGCACTCAATTGAACTTGGTACTTAGATATAGGCGCACGTGACAGAAATTTCTGTGTCGACATTTCCGAAGCCTTCTACTATCCCGTCTCCCATAATATAAGTTCTAAAACGTTCAACCCCAGCAGTTGTTCTGTTAAAAGTCTCCTTCCGTTTTTATCCTGTGTTTTAGAGCCGGAGGCTCCACGATTACGAGCGGACTGCAGGCCCGACAGTTGTGTTCGGGCACCTGTTATTATGGCCTTCGCCTGGCTGCACGTATTTCACGAGAGGGCCACGAGAGCGGCGGTTGCCGAGGGACTTTTTTTCTTACGAACGTTGCACGTGCGGCGTCTTCGTAGCGAGCCTTCTAATCTCTCCTTTCGCAAATTGGCCGTGAACGCAGATCCCGGCGTTCGACGACGGGAACCGCCGTAAACGCGCCGTTATTCCCGCTTCGCCGAGCGCTGCATTGAGCAGGTGATCCCGTCGAGGCCTGGGTATATAACGCCGATGGCCGCTGTTCGTGCGGGGAAACCGTCCGAAAGAGACAAGAGGGGGGGGGGGGGGCGGGGCAGGGGGGTTGGGGGTTGTCTATGAAGGCATGCTGGATGGACGATAAGGAGAGTGCAAAAGAAGTGTTCATATGCCTACTAAGGAGCGAGTGCTTGATGTGTGTGTGTGTGTGTGTGTGTGTGTGTGTGTGTGTGTGTGTGTGTGTGTGTGTGTGTGTGTGTGTGTGTGTGTGTGTGTGTGTGTGTGTGTGTGTGTGTGTGTGTGTGTTTAGTCAAGTCGCCGTGCCCTCAGTTCACTTTAAAAAATTCAGTCAGCTCCCCTTTGTGGACACCGAGCTCTGCATGGTGGCATGCAGTGGCGTTGAATGAACTGGTAATGACGTGGTGGTGACCGAATAAGGGAAAAGTGGCGGGAGCAGCAGTGCACATGATGGTGAGTTGTGGGAGGGGTGGGTGGAGTGCTATACCTATTGATAATGTAATTACCCGCTTTCTTCTGTGTGTAAATCCCGCTGCGATTTACGGTCTTCAACGGTCCCTGTACTCGAGACCAAATGTGTAAACTCCCACTTCGGAAGCGCCGAATTGTTCGCTGTCCTGTGGTTCTGACGTAATGTTACTTATTTTTTTCCCTACAGTGCAAAGAAAGACCGCGTAATATCAAAGAGAAACGCCGTCTGACAGAGCGCCTGAACGCTGCTGCAATGTTGTTCTCATTCGACCGACCCGAAACCGAGGGGTTGTGAAAACGTTGCTGTCTGTGAGGCGGGGAAAGGACTGGGATCCTTTTGGGATGTGTTTATCAGTCGAACCTGCACATCTCGACAAGCGCGAAAGCAACAAGCACACAAAGAAGAGACTGATGAACGGGCTGGTAATAAACAGTACACGTAAACAGCACTCGTGTGAATCCCTGAGTGCGACTGTGAGTGTTGGGCTTTGCGTCATAAACTTTTTTTTTGTTGCTAACTGCTCATGTTCCCTGTGCGCCAAGAGTACGGTGGTAATGATGAGAGTTATTCCTCTCTCTCGACGCAGGGTTGCAACAACCCGATGGTGGTGAAGTTCGCCGACACGCAGAAGGAGAAGGAGCAGAAGCGTCAGCAGCAGGTCATGACCAACCTGTGGACCATGGCCAACTTCGTCAACCTCGGCACGGTCACGCCACAGTATCTCGCCGTGAGTCTCTTTCTCTATTTCCTATATACTCTTTCTGCGCTGGAAAGGGATCGGCCTTGCGTCTTACTCAGAGCCCGTATTCACAAACCAACCTTGGCATTACCTCGCGTTTTCCTCAAGTTCCCGTATTCTTCGCATGCGTCGCAGAAAAAAACAGTAACAGGGTTAAATATTACAACATTGTCTCGTGAATACTGGTCTACTTCGTTCACGAAGTGCAATAAAGGCGTAAAATCGAGAAAAGAAATTTGACGTAAGGACGATGTTGGTTTGTGAATACGGGTCTTAGAATGTCTCTTTACAAAGTGAAGAAAAATGGGAATATTATGAGGTCGTTTTTTTTTCTTTTTTTTTGTTAGACACGATTTTCTTGACAACTAAGACTTTGAAGCTTAGGAAAGCGCAGGGGGGGGGGGCATATCACGAGTAATTCTAATGTAAACGCGAATAAAAAATGTGGACAAAGAGGTAACTTTCCGCCGGCAGGATCCGCACCTGCGACCTTCGAATAACGCGTTCGATGATTTACCACTGTGCAAGGGTGGTGGTCATCTCCACGTCCACTATATAGGGTATATATGTGTGTTTAAACGTGAGAGCGTCGGTCAACGCCGCCTATTGCCATTACGGCAAGTGTGGAACTCTTTTCTTTTTTTGCCCGTTTGGTCTCACGAGGTGCCATGATATAACTCGCTAATCCTTTAATGCCGAAAAGCTTATTGACGAACGGAAGCCCCTATTCTATCTCGCATTTCACGAGGGAGAGTGACCCGGTTGTGGATGCAATTTATTCGGGAATTTCGGAAAGCGTTCTCTCCGTTTGACAATAGCTGCACTGCTCTGCGGCTGGCTTTGAGCCTGCCCCCAACGCTATGGTGTTAACGTGCGTCGCATCGAACGTGCCTCCGGACCACTGTCTTCGACCACGGTATTGTCTCTCGTCTAGCCCTTTCAGAGCCTGTTGTTGCTCATCGATTTCTTCTGCTCTTTATATTTTTTTCCTACGCGAATAACGTTCGATCGATGTTTTCCCGCGCCTTTCTCGTCATTCATCACCAGGAAAAACACTGCGGGTGGGTTTCGTGCTGCTTCGATTTTGTTTTGTTACCCTTCTTTCTTTCACTCTTTTATCTATTTTGCGGTTCATTTCATCGTTGTTTTTTGCTTTTTGTTTTTGTAAGTAGGCTCGCACCCGTTCATTGTTGATCAGCTCTTTTTCGCGCGTTCGCCACTGTTGCTGTCTCATTACCCGTCGACAGCGCCCTCTAGCCACAATTCGCCGCTTCGGCACCACGTCACTGTAACCGTTCAGCTCCCTCGGAAGTGACGTTTACGTGGATTTCGAAGTGTGGCAGCTTGGGCTAGTTGGTATGGCATGAAGATAGTTATAGCGCGAGATCAGAACGACGACACAGAGACGAGAAGGACACGAAGGACACGTTCGAAGCGCTTGTGTCCTTCGTGTCTTTCGTGTCTCTGTGTCGTCGTTCTGTTCTCGTGCTATAACTATAGTCGTGGATTTCGGGTTATGCAGCGGACGCAAGAATGAAGGCGAGGTGACGACGTGATTCTCACAAGGGCGTGCCTTTCGTATCCGGCTTTCCGGAGGGGTAAAGATGGGAAAATAGTTTTCCAAAGCAAAACTAATTAGAGGCCTAACACAACAAACGCTTGCAACTAATTAATTTACTCATTGTACAAGTGCTTGGACATATGCAACGTGTGGCATAAAAAAAGAAGCAATAGAAAGGAAAGGGAAGGCATGGATGATAAAGGAACTGTCTACCGCTCGGAAAATTGTTTTTTTGATTGTGGTGCAAACGAAAAAATCGTTCATCACATCGGCGGCAACGAGCATGCTTTCGGGCCAGGGACCAGTCGATGAAAAGGGACCACTAGCGTCACCCAACGGCGAATGTGGTCAATCTTGACAATCTATTAGTAGGAGAAGGAATCCTCGCAGGTACACTTATTTTGCCTAAAAACAAACACGTTCAACTTGAAATTGTGTTTTATGCGCTTGAGGCAGCTTTAGGTTGCACCAGAAACCAATTTTCGCTTTTTTTTTCTTTCCTCGCGTGCTCCCAACAGGCGCCCGGTGGCGCTGACAACAGTGTGTTAGCTTGGTGGCGCTAGTCACCGCCCGATCTAAAGGGTACAGCCATATTCATCCATCCATCCATCCAGCTTGTCTGCATCCCTGCCTGCAAACGGCGGAGAAACACGACCACTGCGACCGCCGCCGCTCATGAGAACAACAAATTGTGTGTGCCTAAAATTGCCCCTGAGATATTGCCCTGCCGCGGTGGTCTGGTGACTAAGGTACTCGGCTTTGACCCGCAGGTCGCGGGATCGAATACCGGCTGTGGCGGCTGCGTTTTCGATGGAGGCGGACATGTTGTTGGCCCGTGTGCTCAGATTTGGGCGCACGTTAAAGAACCCCCAGGCGGTCGAAATCTCCGGAGCCCCCCACTACGGCGTCTCTCATAATTATATGGTGATTTTGGGACGTTAAACCCCACAAATCTATCATCATCACCACTGAGATATTTGTTTTATTAATAACCAAACTTGATGAACACTGCAAAAAACCACACGTGGCTTCAGTTTTCGACTTTCACTGTCACCGACCAGTGTTGTGGGCATTCATCCCACCGATGGAAGGAGACATAACGCGGACAGAAAAATTCTGTCTTAAAAATTTTTACGCACTTTTCACAGAAAGCGATGCAAGGTTTAGACAGTTCACATGGTACGCTCTTTATTGCGACAAAAAAAAAAAAACAGGAGAGCAACGAAGGATGACAGACAGTACCTTTAATATCAGTCTAGAAGGACCGGTATGCTACCCTGCACCTTCACGTGTATGCGTTGCCCCTGTGACTGTACTTCCGTTTTCTTCCTTTTTTTGTTTTGTTAGGTAGGTCGCTTCTATAGACCGCCAGTTAATCCAGGTTTCTGCACGGTAACAACAAAGTTCTAGCAGTCACGCACCTGGCCTCACTTTTTTTTCTTTCGTATTTTTACAACACCCGGAAGAAGCGGATTTTGTTTCAAAAACGGGCGCTTATGATATCCACTTTGTAACGACGTCGAGAACGCGGAAATTCAGGAAATGTACCAACAAAACCGGTTTCTTCTCGCGTCTTACGGCTGCGCTTGCAATCGAAACATCGCGTGCGCGCCCTGCCCCGCTACGCGTTTCATCGTGAGTACACGCTGCGAACCCAAGTCACGCGAACCCTTAATTCTTTCTAAGGTCTCGCTGCTCCCTAATTTATTCTCATTTCATTCTCTTACACCTCGCTCGTGTTGTTCCGCGGCTGCGGTGGTGTGCGCGGTGTAGCGTGTATACTCGTAGATTTGGTTCCTTGCCGCAGGCGCCGCATTTTCGGTGTCGTGCCCAATGTAAGAAGCAATTTTGTATTTCGGAGGCTTAGGGATGACGTATACATTTCCTGGTGGCCAAACTTGGTTCGTTCTTCTTCCACGGCATTGTGCCTGGCAATCCACTGTACCTTTTTTAGGACATTGAACGCCACGTTTCTATTTTATAGCAATTTGTAGGAACACTCGAAAAGTGTACGTAGCCGTCGTCTTTATGTTCTACGGAAGCATTTCGTGCTGTGATGACTATAAAGCATGCTTGGTGCGTTTTGTATATAGGATCGATGAAACGCGTGCTAGGAAGTGTTGCAACGGGGTTCGCCTGGAGGGGGCGAATTGGAACAGTCCCTCTCCGATTACGGCAGGGACTGCGTACTTCCACCGGCCGGACGCGGTACGCGCGCCCGCTATCTTTACCGCGATCAGCTCAGCTGATTGTTCGCACCTTTGTGTGTACTTTGTTCTACCCGTTGCTGCCATGTACAGAGAGGGGGGGAGGAAGGGGGGACAGCTTACACAATGAACACCTCATTAATGCTCCAACCGGTAAAACTAGAACAGTACTTCTACTTCACAAGGTCAACGTCACTATATGGCGCCTAATCACAATGCACATAAACACAAAAATATTTTTACAAGTTCTGTGTTCATAAACACAAAGTAGCTTTACAAATTATGCACTAGAGATGAGCTGTGAAGTCATGCATACTACATACGGAGTCTTCATTATGAAGATAAAGTCATGATTACTTTATTGCATCTTCTTTGCGGCAAAACTGTGACTAATGTTTACATCATCTCAGAAACAAGAATAAAAAAAGGTTCGTTTTTAAACGCGAAAGTTGTATTTCTGCTTATACCGTTATTCTCAGAAAACATGCATTCACAGCATCTCCTCGGGATTGAAATCATGGCTATCACATCAGAAGAGCTCGCGAAGTTGCGATGGCTTCTCTTCTTACGTTTTGTGATTTTTTCTCTGAATCTTCACTTCGCGTTCGCGGGGGGGGGGGGGGGGGGAGTGTTTATGTTTAGAATAAGGAAAACAAAAAAGTGAGCTCTGCAACTGTCTGCATCAGGGTGCGACACCTCAGCAGTAGCTTACAAGGGATGGGGGTGAGGAGGGATTAAAAGGATAGGAATAAAGGTGTAGAGAGAGAGAGAGAGAGAGAGATGAGTTAACCCAGAGAGCGACGACATATCGAGGGGATAGGAGAGATAGGAAGGATGGAAACACGGTCACAGGAATCCGAGGGTGGGGCACCACTTGCGAGAGCTCTTGTCGGCGTCAGGAGATGGCGTAGAGCAAGTCCCGTCGGTCAGAGCTACACTGTCGTCGGAGGTCGGCGTCAGGAGATGGCGTAGAGCAAGTCCCATCGGTCAGAGCTACACTGTCGTCAGAGGTCGGCGTCAGGAGATGGCGTAGAGCAAGTCCAGTCGGTCAGAGCTACACTGTCGTCGGAGGTCGGCGTCAGGAGAATGTAGGGCAAGCCCAGTCGGCCAGAGCTACGCTGACGTCAAAGATCGCGAGGGCACAACCGGTCGGCACGGAATCCAGCGAGCGAGTCCCCTCTCCACTTCGCGTCAAAGAATACCACCAGGTGGGGTAAGTG